TCTATCAACCCAAAAACGCTCATGGCAATAAGGGTTCATCCGAGTTATTAAATCCACCCAAACCATGGATTCGAGTTCGATTTCATCACGAACTCGCAGAGCCGCCCGTTGGCATACACCCTCAAGGGAGACTGCCTTACTAACGCGTCCAAACTCTTAACCATGGTACCCTATTGACAACAAATAAACCTGACCATAGTCGAACATAGAACTTGACCTTAGGTTGCGAACTATGCTTTGCATCATTGTGCCTACGTGTTTATGTTCGGTCGTTTTGATCCTAACCTTAACGATATTTCTTTGTCTATGGTGGATTATTTTATGAATAACGATTGCCAATGGACCGTACTCATTTAGTAAAAAAAAAAAATCTTGTGCCACGTCAGCATCCACCGTGGCACGGGAAAGTCCACCGTGTCATGAGAAAGTTCACCGTGTCACGGCAATTTCCACCGTGACACGGTGGATTTCCAGCAAAAAAAAAAAAATCCCGTGCCACGTCAGCATCCACTGTGGCACGGGAAAGTTCACCGTGTCATGACAATTTCCACCGTGGCACGGATGATTTCCAAAAAAAAAAAATAAATAAATTCCTGTGCCACGTCAACAACCACCGTGGCACGGGAAGGTTTATCGTGGCACAGGAAAGTTCACCGTTTCACGGCAATTTCCACCATGACACGGTGGATTTCCAGCACAAAAAAAAATCCCCGTGCCACGTTAGCATCCACCGTTTTACCGTGGCACGGGAAAGTTCACCGTATCACGGTAATTTCCATCGTGGCACGGTGGATTTCTGGAAAAACAAAAAAAAAAGCCACCGCGTCACGGTAGCTTGTCCCGTGACACGGTACAGTTTTCCGTGTCATGGTGCCCTTGAAATAATTCCAGTCAGCTTTTTTAAGTCTTCCGTGTTAATTTGGTCCTCGTGTCAGTCATTTTTGTTATTGTTCTCATGTCTAGCCATACGATCATACCACGAGTCTTATAACATCATTTAGTCACTCACGAGTTAAGTATAGTCCAAACACTTTCTTTGTGTTCCGACTTGAGTTGTGCACCAGGTCGTTTATGACCGTATATTAGGTTCAAGCACCCTTTTTTAGTCATAATAAAAAAATGAGTGGAGTTTTCTCACCTGTTTTCAAATGTTTATTTTTTCCTTCCTTTCCTATCTTGAGCAATGAGTCAAATAATTAAGTGAATTATTTTATTTCACAGTACTTGGTCAAGGAACAGGGATAGATTAATACGGTTCGAGTCATTACAACAACAATCTCTCAGATCTAATAGGCGTTCAAAGAGAACTTTTCCATCTCCACTACTTATCACCTTTCAATGACCACTAAAGAAGATATTGAGAACATCAACAAATCCATCGAGGCACTGTCTGCCATGATGCAAACCCTTACCACTAGGGTCACTACCATGGAACAAAACAAGGTCACTGAAATCATTCTCCGTCCCTATCGGCTACTTTGACTATCGTTTTCGAAACTGACGTTTCTACAAACTCAGTCAAAGTGGGGGCTTCTGTAGACACCTAAAAATGTCTCCCCCAAAACCAAACCCGATGATGAACAACCTTTCACCGCCACTATTGGTCGGGTTATGTATTTAATCCCGAGAGTGCTTAAAATATCATATTTAATTAAATTCAATTTTGGAATAGTCCATGAATCAGTCTTGATGTTTGGTCAAAGCATAGTTTTAATTTAAGCCCAAACTTATTATTTAATTTTAGCCCAACCCTTTTTTTATTGTTTTTATTTATTTTAGCCCAAATAATAATAAAATCACAAAATAACCCGAAATTATCAATCGGCACTTAAAATGCTGAACGAAATTAGGGTTAAAAATGAATTTAGACGGAAAAGCAGACTAAAACTTCCCGCGTCACAACAACAGTTCAATAATGAATTTAGGGTTTTTATCATTTTAGGGTTCCGTGTGTTCCCTCAGCACATTTTCTCTATAAATACCCCCTTATTTCTAATGTACGGGGCATCAATTATTCTCGATTTTTTTCTCTCTTCTATGCTCTAGCCTAAACACTAGCCTACCTTATTCTTTCAAAATTCCTTCTTCAAGCACTCCCAGGAGTCCATACTTTACTCGTGGTTCTATCCTTAAGCCAAGGCGTGAAAGGTAGAACTGTTTATGGGTTTGGCCCCAAATCAATTCTATTTAACTTAATTTAATTTCATTATTGTTTTATTATTATTTCCTTGAAGTTACTAACTCGTTTATTATTTTGTAGTTGCAAGCAAACAGAATCAAATTAAAAATTATGTTCCTTTTATTTCAATTATTTTTCTAACGATTTTATATTGTTGGAATTATTGTTAAATTGCTTCCAATATTAATGTTTATTCTATTATTATTTATGATCACCATACTTCATGTTTAAAGGGGAATATGTAATTGAAAATCACGCCTAATAAGATAATTTGGACAATCGGTTTAGGTTCCTTTTTAATCTTGTTGTTTAATTCAAGTGATCAAAAATATTTTAGAATTATGTATTGCATTAATATTCAACCAATTAAGCATAATAATAGTTTGGAGCAAATTGAATCTTTGTTTGCATGCTTTTGAGATCGCATGAATCACTTTTCACTATAAGAATCGAGTAGAGGCCAATACGGGCGAATGTGACTCCATGACTTACTTTGTACCATCATCCCCGATCCTCCTTTCGTGGTTCCGAACCGTATGGAGTTAATAATCTCATGGATTATGAATGGGTTGTAACCTTCACGGGTCAATATTTGTTGCCTTCGTTGTCCCTTTATCGTGGTTTCCTTTTTATGATCCGTGCACAGTTTACAAGTTCTTTAAAAACTTGTTGGCGGCTCCCTACTTTCCTTGTCCCTAATCGTATATTTCAATTCCCACTTCCTATGAGCGCCAAGTGTAGACACCCATTTGTGTCTCCCCAAAACAAACCCAGTGATGAGTACCTTTCACGTAGAATCATAATCGAATGAAGCGAAAGTGTGGAAAGTTTAGTGTTGCGGATAGTTTTAATTTCTTTTCTCTTCTCTTAGTTTTTGAAAACTTATTTTAAGAAAACAGCCAATCCAGTTTGGTTTGTCCATGATATGGGTCCAATAGTAGTGTAGTTGGATGGGGCTTGACAAGAGCTTTCCAACGATATATTAAAAGCCCAATTCCGATGAATATTGAGGAAGTTATGTCCAATTTACTAAACTAGGCCCGGTTTGAGCCTTATGTACGGCCCAATGATCTTGGGGAGGGCCTAATATGATTTAGGGAAATTCTACATGGTGGCCTCCAACTTTTACAAATTCTACGTGGTGTAAAAAAAAACACATTATCTCTAGTGAACCCAAACTTTCATTAAACTCTATTTAGTGGCCAAATCTCACTTAGAATGGGTTAACCACTCACTAATGTTGACTTTATTAAGTCTAATTTATGAATTTACTAACCTACCCCTATTTCTAATCCTTTCCTCTTATTGAATTAATGCTGACTATATTCACGTACTGAAGATCAATATACCTGTTCATCTTCTTCCCTAAAATTCAAAGTGCAATCTATAACAAAACTTCAAACTCGTTGAAATTGAGCAAATTTTAAGAACGTAAATTGATTATTTACAGATTTTGCACAAAGTTCTCTCAGTTTTGTGTTGTATTTTTTGGCAACTTTGCGATTGATTATTCAAATCAATGCCTAGGATTTGTTGTTGGATTCATTGCAAAATAACGGTTTGCGACTGAACATTAATGTGTTAAACATCTTCCAGGTAATCAGTTGAAGATATTTTCAATAAATTTTGAATTTTGCTCATATATGCATGCTTAATATTCTGGTTACTCTGTTTTTTTGTTTTTGTTTTTGATTTTTATTTTTTTTTGTGCGATTTGCACCTAGCTTAGCTTTGAGAATTTTATTGGGCATTCCCTTGATTTATTTGGAATTTTTGTGTGTTTGGTTTAATGTTGCAGAATGGACTCAATTGTGTTAAAATTTCAAACGACCGAGAATGTGGTTGATATTAATGTTGATGATGTTGATAAAGTAATGTGGATTGATTGATTATTGAGTATGAGGAATTGTTTAGGAAAAATTGGTATATGATGCCTAAATATCCAAGTTTCCATTACTGTTATAATAAGAAGGATGTTAAAATTACTAGTGACAGTGATTTAATGTCTATGTTAGATAGAATAGGAGGAATTAAGAAAGTGATTACAGTGTATGTGGGTTCAGTTGAAACACCTTCTGAATGTGTAGTTGCAGCTAGGAATCTTACAGAGTCATTGAAAAACAAACCCAATATGCATTATAGTCTAAGTCCACCTATGAAAAACAACCAAAGCTTTGATGTTGGGACTAGTGACATGCCTGATGTTAGTCCACCTAGGATAAATGAAACACTTATAGACAATTGGGAAAGAATAGAAGAGGAAGCCAATCGATGTAAGACACATAAAAAGAAGGGAAAGGGGGGACGGGGCAATCCTAAGCCTAGGGTTAAGTTACCTGATCAAAGAAGTTTACTTACTAATGAGCCACTTACTCTAGCTGACACTACTACTTTTTCCAATGCTCCTTTGCTTGAAAAAACTACCCTGAATCTAACCTCATCAGACAACACAGCCTTGATTGTTCATAAAATACCTAAGACTACTGCTGCTAGGAAGGGCTTGTTGAACACACCATATGAAAAAGAGGCACAAGTGATTACTGAAGAGGAGTTTAATAGGAGGTTTGAGCATGGAGAAACTTTACGGCCAGAAATGAATGCTGACATTAGAGATGAAGATTTAGACATATATTTTGAAAGAGGTGGTGTCTCAGATGAAGAAGAACAGGAATTTGGTGAGATCATTGACAATTATGATGCTTATGCATCTGATGTATGGCAAACAGAACTACTTGATGATGACACTTATGTCAGTAAAATGTACAAGAATGGAGAATTTGCTTAAAATGTTGAGTTTGGAAGTATTTTTTTGAAACCATGGATGATATTTACTGATAAAGCACATTTCCTATCTGTTCTAAGAGATTACTGTATACAATCTGGGTTTGCTATTGTAGTGGATAGATCTAGTCCAACTAGTTTCACTGCTCAGTGCTTGGAATTGAACTGTAATTGGAGGATACATTCAAGTGTACTCCCTGATGGCACTACTTGGGCCATAAAGAGTATAAAAGATTCAGAGCACACTTGTAGGGGTTTGTATGAGAGGAATCCTTTAGTTAATGTGAAGTGCGCTGCAAGTAAGCTAATTGATGATATAAGGGCAAACAATGATATAACTGGGAAAACTTTGAATGACTTGTTGTGGACCAGGTATGGGGTGCAGATGGCCACTAGTACTCTCTATAAAATGAGGAGTATTGCTCTTAGGGAGATTAATGGTGGACATGATGAGTCTTATGGCCATCTTCCTAGGTACTGTGAAATGGTTAAGCAAACTAATCCTGGTTCAGCAGCTAAATGTGCATGGAGAAAGAATGATCCCCAACTGTCACTCACTTTCTCTAGAATTTTCATATCATTCAAGGGAGCAATAGATGGGCTTGGTACAGGTTGTAGAATTTTTATTGGGGTTGATGGTGCTCACTTGAAAGGGAACTATGCAGGGGTTTTGCTATCTGCGGTGGCTATAGATGCAAATAATGAGCTAAATCCATTTGCATGGGCTATAGTTTCAGTTGAAGATGGGAAGAACTGGAAGTTTTTAATTTAGCATTTGAAGCAAATCTTGAAAGACTTAAATAGAGGGGATGATTGGTGCATTATATCTGACAGGAAAAAGGTTAGTGTCTCGTATGTTGGCTTAATTTCAGTAAGTATACTGTACTAGTGTTAATTTCTTCATTATGTGTTCTTGTAGGGAATAGATCTTACTTTAACTGAGCTATGGCCAAAAGTAGGGAGGAGGTATTGCTGCAAGCACTTAGTTAAAAATTGGAAATCAGCTTTTCCAGGACCCTTGATGCACTCCTTATTTTGGTTGGCATGTAGTGCTACTTCAACATTCACCTTTAAAAAGGCTATGGAAAGAATTCAAAAGACAAACCACTTGGCACTAAAATGGTTAGCTAATCTAGGAGATCAAGAGAGGTGGTCAAGACACAAGTTTGACCCAAAGATATGCACGGATGAGAATAAAACTAACTTCGTCGAAAGTTTCAATGCCACTTTAGGAGTGGACAGATGCAGACCTGTTCTGACTCTTTTGGAAGGTAAAAATTTATGTCTTTCTTAATCCTTATTTTTGTATATATAACTTGGTTCTTATGTTGAATTGTATGCTTGGTTATATGTGGTTTTTGCAGGCATACGAAGAATGTGTATGGTAAGGATGTCAACTAGAAGACAGAAATGTAAAGATTGGAATGATTCTGATCCGTGTCCAACCATTGTAAGGAGAATCCAAATGCTGATCAATGCTTCCAGAACTTGCAAGGCATTCCAGAGTAAAGAGGGAGAATATGAAATAAGAGAGGGTAAGTCAATGCTCCTGGTGTCACTCAATAATAGAAGTTGTATATGTGGGCTTGGCAAATTTTAGGCATCCCTTGTAGGCATGCATTAAGGGCTATACTATCTGCAGGACATGATCCTCATAAGTATGTTAGCACATGGTACTCAGTTGCAGCCTACAAACAATGTTATTCACATGCCATCAACTCAATTCCAGACATTGAGCATTGGCCAGATATTGACCAACCAACAATTCAAGCTCCTACAATGAGGAGAAGAATAGGAAGACCATCAAGACAGAGAAGAAGAGCTGATGATGAACCAGATAAAGAAAAAAGGTCAACCACAGTCAAATGCTCACTCTGTAAATCATATGGCCATAACAAGAAAACATGCAAAGGTGGTATGACTGCAAAGGAAAAAGCATCACACGGTACCGAGCATCATAAAAACCAGAAAAAACAAAAGACAATTGCTGCTGCCTCTATATCTTCTTCCCAACCAGAGCCAGTTTCTCAGCCATCTCAGTCCAAGCCAAGGAACAACAACAAAGGGAAAGAGAAAATGTAGCCTGGGGTCTGGTTTTTTCAACATGTGTACCTTTTATTTAGTAGTAAATAAAGGTCAACTTATAAAGTTATACATGTGTCTTTTTTTCTGAAACATTTTTTTTGTTGAACAACTGGTTGCTGCTATATGAAATCAGATTTGATGTTTGTTTGAAGAATTCTTGTCTTTGCACTACTATATTACCATGGTAGCTAACATGTTTTATTTATTTATTTTTCCAAACAAATTTACCTACAGTTTAGTTATCATTCCCGTGATTTTTGACCGCTAACCAAACTGGCCGTAAGGATATTGGATTCTACTCAGATCATTGGCACTTGAATTATTCCTCCTCTGGTGTTTGCTTGAATGTGTACTGTGAGTTCAATTGCTTTTGAATCCTGATTGGTTATGGATGGAGCACATGGAGAACTCACGAGCAGTTAATCTCTCTGTTTGCTTCCAGCCAATTCAAACGACAATTTCCTCTGTGCAGTTTTGGGTTCAAGATCAATGTTAGCCAGACTAGCCACCTGAAGGGAGTTAGAAACAAGAATTGTTGTCAGTGGAATATATTGAGCTAAGGTGTTGGTGTCTATTTGGTAGTGACAATTACTTAGTGTCTTCTGTTTTTTCTTTGTTGTCTAGTTGAAAGATTAAGGGCTTATCAGAAAATAGGTAAGTGCCTTTAAGCTTAATTAAGTAGTGCATCCTGTTTGGCATAGTGTAGGGAATAATTTCAAGCCTTAAAAATCCCACTAGCTCGAACCCCACTGTGATCATACACTAAAGTACGGTGGCGTCCAAAAGGGAAGAAGATAGAGCAAAAGAGTCGCCAACAAGTTTTTAAGGAACTTGTAAACCGTTCATAGGATGAAAGTTACACCCCTAAACGATCCAAGAGATCGTCAACTCCATAAGGTCATAACCAAATAAGGGTCCGGGGATGATGGTACAAATCCAACCTAAAAGAGATTGAACCTGCCCTAATAATAGGCCTCTACTTTATTTTGCTCGTATTCATGTTCGCTTTCTGATTAACATACAATCAATAGGTTAACCCTAAACCTGTTTATCTATGTTGGTTGAATATTAATGCAAAAAAAAACTATTATTGGCAATCACTTGAATTATAATCATATTAACCCTAAACAAGATTATTAATTATCTTATTAAGCATGATTACAAGTACCAAATTCCCTTTCACATGCATAAAAAGGCGTGATCAAGCAATAACAATAAATCAAAATAATAATAATAATAATAATAATCATCATAAATTATAACAATTAAAATAATAATCATGTTCATGTTAATATTAAAGCATACTAAACATAGCAAGATCCTAGGCATGATACTAACCAGATTAATAACAAACTCTAGCATGTCACTAAGCAATAAAAATCAAATCTTTAACCCTAACATGATACTAGCAATCATAAATATTAGGAAGAAAATAAAAGGCATCATATCAATCATATTTAATATTAAAAATATCCTAGACATGATACTAGGAATATCATAATAACAATATAAACATGATGTCTACATCATAAATCAATTAATCAATTAAAGCACTTACTTTGATGCCTCGTACCTCTTTCTAATAACAAAATACACACGTTAGTAATTTCAAGGAAAATAATAATCAAACAATTAAATTAAATAATTGAGAGAGAGATTTGGGACCAAACCCTCAGAAATTAAAACCTTTCACGTCTAGGGCGAAGGCAACTTCGAATATGGCTAGGTGTTTCTAGATCTTGCGAATGCAGAATTTTGTATGAAAAAAGCAAGAAAGAATTGAATGCTAAAGAATACTTGAGAATGAGAGATGGTGAATTGATGAATTGGTGAAAATTGGTATAAGAATTGATGAAATCTGGTGAATGAAAACGAAGTTTTTGATACGATATTTATAGAGAAAATCAGCCAAAAAAGATAATTTAACAAAACAGAGTCTGACGATCGCAAAACAGGATTGGCGCCAACCCTGGCTAGCTGGCGCCAGGCACCAGTGGCTAGCGCCAGGCGCCAATGGTTAGCGTTTGGCGCCAAGCCTGGTCCCAGGCGCCAAGGCCTAGGGTTGGACGCCAGTCTTGATTCTAACGCGTTTTCGAAAATCCGATAAGTTTACCGTACTGGAGGATAAAATAATATAATTTCTTCGAAAATGCTATTTGAATTTGATTAAAACTCTGAAAAGTTAACAAAGTCAACTTATCAATGCTAATTGAATTAGGAATGAAAAGAACCTTCTAGAAGATTCTAGAAGACTAAACCATTCCTAATTTCATTAGGAATGATAAATCATATTAGGCCCTCCCCTAGATCATTGGGCCGTACATAAAGCTCAAACCGGGCCCAGTTTAGTAAATTGGTCATAACTTCCTCAATATTCATCGGAATTGGGCTTATAATATATTGTTGGAAAGGTCTTTGCAAGCCCCATCCAACTACACTACTATTGGACCCATATCATGGACCAACCAAACTGGATTGGCTGTTTTCTAAAAATAAAGCTTTCAAAAACAGGGAGAAGAGAAAAGAAATAAAACTTTCCGCAACACCAGACCTTTCCACACTTTCGTTTCATTCAATTATGATTCGACGTGAAAGGTACTCATCACCGGGTTTGGTTTTGGGGAGACACAAATGGGTGTCTACAGAAGCCCCCACTTTGACTGAGTTTGGAGAAACGCGAGTTTCGAAAACGAAAGTCAAAGTATCGATAGGGATGGAGAATGATTCAGAACGTTCTGCGATCCTAAATCAATCTTGTAACACCAATACCTGCAAAACTAGCATTAGTTAAACAGATAAAAGTGTTAAGAAACGCGTATCTTGCACCGTCGAGCACACGTCTCTGAAAGTAACTGATTGTTGCCGCTGTTGTTTTGATGACCTCCTGCAAGCTAGAGAATGCCATCCCGCTTGAAAACCGCTACGCCCGTAACTGCTTCCAAATTAGAAGATTGCTTCGCCTGAAACTACCCTCCCCGCTATGATAACATTCCACATCCAAGGGAACATCATCGAAGATTATTTCTCTTGAAACAATCTCCATCCGCATTGATAATATTCCACGTCCAAGGGAATACTATCGAAAATTATTTCTCTTGAAATAATTATCAGTTGCATTGATACGATAATTTTCCAAAGGAAATTACTGAAGATCCACGCCTGTCGATCTTTAAAAGTTCGCCTGAACTTTGCTTCCGCTATGCTTGTACGTCGGCGCTCTTTTGCTTTGAACCTGTATGTCGGTGCCCTTTTGCTCTTGAACCTATACGTCGGTGCTCTTTGCTAATGAGCCAATGCTTAGGCGCTTTAAGCTAAGTGAGACGATCTTTTATCAGGTTGATCACTTTATGTAATCAAGCTGATTACTAAATCATCTTTAATTGCTTAGAGGGGATAACTGGCGTACCAAGGAACCCAATAATATATTGCAGAAGGCTAGCACAACCCCAACAAGTGGCTGGCTGCTTTGGCGTCGCTGAAAATCCATCAGCGCCAGCCATTTGGTGTTAGTGCCAGGCGCCAAGCCCATTTTGCGACGCCAATGTCTAGGGACTGGCACCAGCACGGGGTTTTCTTTAAATTCCCGTTTCCTCTTCATTTGCTGCTATGTTCGTCGCGAAACTGCTCGAAAGAAGTCCGAAATTTCAATTGCTCATTGCTTGCTCGTTTTTCAACCGAATTCGCTTA